TTACTTTATTCTCAAGTAGTTGTCTCTAAACATCAGAGAGATCCCTTCCAAGGAAGAAACATCCGGTTAAATCTCATATGAAAACTTGGCCTTAGTGCAGAAAAATCACTGATAAGTGCAGTGAGATGCAAGAAATCAGAATCCAAGGAAACATTCAATATTCTGTCATCCTCTTCTTTTCCCTCTCCCTCCCCTCGTACAATGAATTAATTTCGAGCATTGTAACTCATCTACTTAGATTTTAGTTTTGCTCATCTTTAAATATCATAAATTTAAGAATTATTAGTAGATTTATATAGTTATTAACTTTAAACTAATAAAATTAGTTGAAGTATATACAAAATTAGTTCAAATGTATAAAATTAGTTGAAGTATATACAAATTAGTTCAAATACTGATATTAATAAATAAAAATAATAATAAAGGGAATAGGGGAATGATGAGGCACATGATGCCCACTTGGCCAGGAAAGAAAACACAATTATATTTCTTGTCCTCTTTCTCGTGGGTGTATGCTTGCAGAATTATTGTATTTTGTATTTAGTGTGAAGTGCAGCTAGTAATTTCTTTGTCATTTCCTATTTGATCATTCGAGGATGATTAACATGACAAGAATTCAGTGAGGAAATTCCTCTGGTTACTTTAAGCAGAGACATCGAACCAAATATCTTGTCATTCTTTTCCTTGATTTGAATCCTCCATGAATTGTTCAAAATGAAGAATATATAACCAGCACCCCGATTTATTCATATCTTATGAGATAGCAGATGAAATCAAACTATTCAAGGTACATGATGTTACCCAAATAGAGTTAATTTTGGCTGGTAAAACTAGAAATTCTATCAATGTCAACTGTAAAGGAAACAAGGTAGGTGTTATAATGTTTGCCTTGCACAGTTTACTGCAAGACTTGCATCCTTGAGCTTTTCTAGTGCCATTGGCGGGGCGTAAAGCTAGTTCAAAACTATTTAGACAGCATTTAATATTGCACTGACGAGATCTAAGTCAATCCAAGTGTCTGTGTGGTATTGAAATTATAACTGAGGGTCACAGTTAGTATCAAATATTAATATTTGGTTAACTTAAAAACTAAGTTTTGTTTTAGTGGGATTTTTATGCTTCTGCTTTACTGTTCATAAATTAATTCAGCTGATCTATTATTCATGTGAATAGTTGATTTTCATAAATTAATTCAGCTGATCTATTATTATTCATGTGAATAGTTGATTGGGCCTTTACCGTATAGAGATGGGTTCCAACTCCAATCTAATGTATTAGATTGGTTCTGATGAAATAAAATAAAAAAAATTAACAAATTTTTATAAATAAATTTTTTTAGATATTGTGTTTTATTTAAAAAACTAGTATTAATATTATTTAATGATATTATATATTTATATTAGAAGAAGATTTTATAATAAGATAATATTTATAGAATTTATTTACAATTTTAATTTTATTTCTAATAATATTTTACTTGATATTATTACATGCTTAGAAAGTTATGGAAAATAATTTTAATTTAATATATTAATTTTTTTTTATTCAATTTTTTTTTAACTACTTAGAAAGTTATGGAAAATAATTTTAATTAAATATATTAAATTTTTTTATTCAATTTTATTTTAACTAAACATATATTTTTATAAATTAATTTTAATTGAAAATATTTTTTTGTGAATCATCATCATTAAAGATACGCTTGATTCTCAGGAGAACACGGGCACGATTGTAGTTTTATGGCCCAATCAAATGCCCCATCATTCATAAGCCTCTACTATCACAAATTCCCTTCAGTGGCACTCCTCTTCCCTCCCCTTGCTGCTCGATGAATCATTTCCATATCACTGTGTTATCATTACCTTAATTGCTCTGTCTGTTAAGGCTTCACTTCAACTACACTCTTCCGATACCTAAATCAGTATTGATTCTAAGGCTTGTGACTTAATCTGAGAATTCTTACGTTGGAAGGTGATGTTCACTTTGGATAATAACTTTAAAATCACTCAAGTGGGAGCAGCTGATCCTCCCCACTTCACATCAGAAAGAGATTTGTCATGAGAGAGTACTCTCACTTTCTATCAAATTTACATGTAACTCATATCCCATCAGAAAAGAAGGATGGGACTTAAAGATTCACATAGCTTGAAGGCAACTCAGTAGGTATTGTTTTTTCTCCTTGACAATGCCATGATCACTTCTTAATTCTGGGTTCGGTGGAAACAATTACTTGAATAGCAGCATATGGATTTTCCTGTCAATGATGCCTATTTTATTATAAATTATTGAGCAACATATTGATGAAAATGATAAATGAGCCAGCCATGTGAAGCAAACGCAGCAATAAGAAAAGTTGAGGCAAGATTTGTCTAGCCAAGTGATTCAAAAATAATATAAAATGGAGCTGGCCTTCAATGGTAAACCTCTCTGATATTTCTGTGCAAAAAGTACAAAATCTTTATCACATTGTATAACAAATCCATATTGACATTAATCTAGTAACAAATCCAAGAGCTTCTCAGTGAGAGAGATAGAGGATTATGCCGTATAGAAGATTAAACTCTCATTTGAGATTGTGTTTTTAATCCAAAAATACTTTTTAAAAAGCAGTTTGCACTACAATACCAAATAGATGGGACCAGGCAGCATAATTCTATAACTAAACCACATCCATTCTTGGCTTATCAAGGCAAACATCATTCATGGATGCAAAAGTAAATGGGAAGCAATTATGGGCTCCTAACACATGGGCACGCATTTGATGAAACCTAACAAAATGGATGAGATATGGGAAGCAAATAAGCACTCACATGGTGCTTGTAGCTGTGCTCCAGGGCGGGAAGAAGCTAACAAAAATGGGTGCTTTTGTATAATTGACATCTCATATGTCCACCACCAAGAATTTTCAGTGAACGTTGTTTTCGTTTTCTAATGATGTTCATGAATATCCATCGTTTAGTTAGACTCTGAATTAGGCAGACAAAAACAGAAAAAGAAAAAAGAATTGCAGAAAGCAACGGGGCATCTCGCAGTATCACATGGCAAACACTTCTCTGTAAAGTATTGAGTGAATAGACTTGAGCACATGGAAATGGATCATGAGGTTAAGGGCTGGCGCATAGGAGAGGAGATTGAAACACAACACTCTAAAGACAGCAAAGGGAAATAATTCATGTGGTCAGGCGAGAAGCTATTTCCAAAAGCTAAATTAGTAATATAATTTTTGAAATAGTGTAAATATAGCATTTTTGTATATATATACTCCAATGGAAAAAAAAACCATTTTAAAAAATCAATTTTATTTTAATATATTTGATATTGATACAACTATTTATCAATAGTAACTAACTAATACAATTCCAATCAAAACCTTTTTTTACATAATATATATTAAACAAAGAGAAGTAAAAAAAATAAAGAAATTAAAGCAAATTTTGATTTTCATAAGTTATTTGAAATAAAATAAATATCAATTAAAAAATTAGGGATAAAATTAAAAATAAAGAAAAGTTAAGGGGCTTAATTGAAAAATTACATGGCATAGTGCAAGAATCGAAAGAAAGTAGGAAAAAAAAAGTCCACTCAAGCCAAACCAAATTTCTATTTTTTACACGTGTCACCTCAACATAAAAAAAAAAACCAAGACAAATCTAATGATGCTGTAGAATAATATTTTTGGTTGTCGGAATCAACTACATATATAGTTAAAAGAAAAAAAAAAAAAACAACAAAGTTGTTGACCCGCTAATGTATACTTAGCAAAAATATATTTTTACCATGTTTATATAAAAAATAAGACACAAATACCCCTCCTTTTTTTAATAAGACTAGATTGGTAACTTGATTGTGTACTTTATAAGTAAAAATATAAATCTGTGTCGGAATAAACTTAATATAAAATTAAAAAAAAAAAAAAAAAAAACAACAAAGTTGTTGACCCGCTAATGTATACTTAGCAAAAATATATTTTTACCATGTTTATATAAAAAATAAGACACAAATACCCCTCCTTTTTTTAATAAGACTAGATTGGTAACTTGATTGTGTACTTTATAAGTAAAAATATAAATCTATTTCTATATGATATCAAACAATGCATTAATCTTAAGAATATTTATAGTAATTTGCAGTGGAATTTTAAAGATAAATACCCGTCTTGCCCTCTGTCAATTTAAAATGTTAAAATGTTCTTATTAAAAAGACAATCATGCCCTCAAGGCAAAATGTTTTTTTTATTTTTTTCATGCGTATAAAAGGATGGATGGGGAATTAAGTGTTCCCATCCTGTATTGTGACTTAGGGAACAATAAATTTCCCATCTCTTTTAATTTTATTTATAATAAACTTAAAATACATGAAAGTTAAACTTCTCTTGGAACAAAATTAAGAAAGAAAAACAAAGAAAGAAAGAAATGCTTGAAAATTTGTTATGTCTTCCGACTAGATAAATGTTAAGACAAACCATTAGGAATGTTTGTTTTTAAATTGTTTTTTATAGTAAAAATTATCAAAATCAATAATTTTTCAGATTATTTTTAATGATTTTGATGTGTTGATATAAAAAATTAAAAAATATATTATTTTAATATATTTTTAATTAAAAAATCATTTTAAAAAATATTTTGCAATGCACACCCTGCACACACTCAAGTGGTTCTCATGGGTCAACAGCTGGCCAAATGCCCACTTCAGGTGCCAGCCTCTCAGCAGTTGGGCTGTCCTATCCTAAATGGAGTGCAGATGTAAAATAGGTGGATGGGGAAGAATTTAAGAAACAATTCTGAGGTCGTTTTCCAGAATAGCATTCAAGGCTATTTATTTCTAGGAGGTCTCTTTTCAAGAAAATGAGCCAACTATTGACCTCTAAATGCAGGGCCAAAAAACTAATTTGAATGCTACAAAAGCTATTTGGTCTGCATCATAATGCATGAATGTAAGAATCTGGCGTGCAGATGAGTGCACACACAACCTAGTACTCACGCTTTACTGTGTTTATGACATGGTCATTCACTGATGGCAAAACAAATTTATGGGATTGTATATCCAACAATGGAAGTTTACAGGGTTAATCATTCTCAGTAACTCTCATTTCCTGAAGATGTATAAAACTTTGTTCTCTTGATCTACATCACTGGAAAAAAATTGCAAATTACAAGAAAGAATAAAAAAATAACCTTCATTGTGTAGGCAAAATTCATAAATCCCTCTCCAGTCTAATGCCTTCGGAAGAAAAGGATAACCGAGAAGCTAATCATCTGGTTCCATAGTTGGACTCTTTGAGCAGCTCTCCTGTTGATGGAGTTCTAACAATCTGGCTTCTGGATTACAGAGACCTGTATAATAATTAATAATTGTGTCATCAGATCACCATATTTGTTCACAATTTGATGAAAAATATTCAACGCGAAGTCTTGTGAGAAATCAAATGATGCAGTTCCAAAAAATGATTTAAAAGTTCTGCACAAACGTCTGAAGCAAGGCAACTTTTTCTTGCATCAGAAATGAATCAAAATCACCCGTGTATATGCTCATGTCTGTAAACTAACAGCAGAAGTTGAACTGATATTGTTCATTTTGATTCTATTTTCTATATGGCTGATAAAGATACCAACCTGAACACTTGGGAATGTCCCATACTGCAATTGATGATGGTGTACACTCTGGTGAGCATAACGCTCTGTTATCCTCGTGATTGACATTCATTGCCAGCATCCATGCACCAATTGTAACATCCTCATTGCTGAACATCCGAAAGCTGATAATTCAAGAAAACAGGAAGTGTTACATGGAATGAAGTGATCGTCTCCAACCTAAATTGAGATTCTAAGAGTCTAGAAGTTCCTCAGCATACATATTATGATTGTCTACTGAAAATTTCCAAATATAATGTGGTATTTCATGATCTTATCTGTACAACAAGCAAGCAGGGGGACCACTCATGGTATGTTCTTGCTATTTCAAATCAGAACCAAGGCAAGTCCCAATCATGCTTCAATAGGTAATGGGCATGGTAAAATCAACCAAAAAAGGCTTGTTAGTATAAAATCCAACAAAACTTTTTCTTGGTTGACTTGGGCATTGGGTTTCATTGTGTCAGTTTGATTGATCATGCAGTTTATTTGAAGTGAAAAACATCTTATCAGCTACTTAATAAATAATAAAAAATCAACCCGATGGTTCTTTGACATGAAACCACTTGACTGCTATGAAGATTTTGTCAAAAAACATGTATGACAATTACAGAGATTAAAAGCAAAGAACATTTTTATGCAGTGAAGAAAGCTCACAAATTTAAATTTGAGCACGTAATAGTGTGGACTGCATGTGTGCTTCAGTGAGGGAGAGGAGAAACAAGCAAAGTATTCTCTCTATATGCCTGACACTTCATGTTTTGGGGTTATGGTGCACAAGCCCAACTTTGAGATTAACACTATCGCCTCAAGCTCCCCTCCATCACAAACTCAAATTAAATAGTTAAACACAAGTTGAGAGTATTTGGTGCTAAATGGATGGCTTTAACTTGATCAGTTGAAAAATGATAGTTTACCAAACAACACGAGCCCCATTCTGTTGCTTTGTTGCAATTTGGCAAGAGTCAACCTCAGAGAATTGTACTGCTATCTTAAGTGCAGTGCATACTTATATTCTCTACTACGCAAAATATTAAATAAAATGTCAACTTGCTTTTGGATGCAAACATTCAAGGTCGACAGGTTCTTGACCAAAACCGGAGCAGAGCCAAAGCAAATTTATAATAAATTAATAAGCAACTGAAAATTTTAAAATATTAAAATTGTGAAATAAAACTAATTTGAAAAATAAATTGTGACAAAACTTTATGCATAAGAAAATGTACATTTCACAAGACTTTTATATTACAGTTACAGTCGATGTGTTTTCATGGAACTAAACCAGTTTCTATCCAGATTATGTAAAGTGTTCTAGTGACTAAAGAGGTCTACATTAAAATTAAACCCATGATATAATAAAATTAAAAAAATTATGGTCAATGATTAAAATTCTTAAATTGCGATAAATCATAATTAATATTTCTTCTTCAGAAAAAAAATTTTCAATTCCAATAGACCAAATTATTTGATTTTTTTTTATCAACATATAATTAAAAGATGGGAAATGGAGAGTCATCTTGTGTCAAGAAAATGTGAAAACAAAGGAATTTTGGTTTGTAGAGAGAATACATTTTCATTGTTTACACACACACACATAAAATTGGTGATGTTTATACAACTTAAAGAAACTAGAATTGACAAGGACTACAGTTAAGAAGGTATAGCTCGTCAAAACAAACAAGTTCAGAAAGTATATTTTGTGCTATATTTCAACGATTCCCATGGAAGGATTTGCTTGCATGCCCCAACATATTGGTTATCAACCTAGGTCAAATGAAGCCTTCCACCTATAATATAATGAGGCAGGCAACCACAATTAAACAACATCACTTTAGCAAAAGCCTAAGCCACTTGAAAATGCATAATATCATCACAGATCATTCGTTTGTTTGATTTCTTGGTTTGATTTTTTTTTCCTTTGGAATGTGCAAGTGCTTTATGTTGGGAAGGAAATGAAATGCAAGTGGTAAAGGATGGCATACTTTACATATACTATAACATTATACATAGAAATATTTTCTGGCAGGGGTTGCAAGGGACCCCCTATGCCACCTCCAGCCTCTGTTGTGCCAAAATAACACAAGATAATTCAAATGTTGTATGCATCATCCAAACAAAGAGAGGAAACACTATTTTTCTTTTTTCTTTTTTAAGAAAAAGCAAGAGCATTTTTCCTAAATGGTGAAAAAGCCAGCAGCTCTTGAAAGGCATAGGAGAGTTGCACTATCAGCTCCATGCCCTTAAATTTTAACTTGAATAATCATTATTGTACATCATATTTAGACAAGCTATTAAATGCTGGCCAAACACTTAAGGGCATGTCCTGACGAAGGTAACAAGCAACTCACCTGTTGTTTCTGAGTACAACTAAACTTGCAACAACATCTACAGAGAGAGCATATATCGGACCATATGCATGGTAAAAGTACTCCTTACCAAGCAAATAGGATAATGGTTCATACCTGCAGAAACAGAGATTATAAGATTACTGAAAAGGTCATGGCTAACCGCAATTTGGGATACTACTTTTCGAGATTATCAAGCCCAAAAGTCCTTATCCAATACTTTTTGGATAAACCAACATCTCCAATAGAAGTAGGCATTATGCATGACACCCCTATAATGCTTCCAAATAGTTCATTTAAAAAGGATGACTTTGAAGTGGATTAAAATTTGTGTATGATTATGGTACTAAATTTACAAAATAGGGAATTAAATAAAGCTGGATGATTGGGGATTTCACTTAGTCTCCAAAACCCTATAAACATTAAATCCTAACGCTACAGAACATCAAATCATGATGTGAGATTCTAGTTAACTAAGTCAAAAATACAAGAACAAACTTTTCACAACAACAGCACCATGAACAGCAGCATTGCCTTGGATTAGTAAACATTTTCTGCTATGGTATTACTTCAGTAACATAACTTTAGGTCAACTTTTAAGTATAAAATGCTAAATCTAGTAAGAACAAGATTCAAACCACCTAATAAAAAAAAGGTAGTGTGATTGATGTACAAATTGTATTGTTTATGAATATCCATTGCAAAACAAAAATGGAAAATGAACTTACCATTTGAGCTTTGGATCAGTGAAAACTGGTCCCTTTTTCATGCATCCAAGGTAAGTTTGAGAATGAGTACGCTCTTTTGCCAAAAGAGTCGAAAGACGATCTGAAAATATATTAAAATACAAAAATGTGATTTACATGGAACTGTACTACCAAAGTTGATTCCCCAAATAATGCTACTGAATAATATCAAACACCAAAAATTTCACATTTTACCCACCTGGCCTCAGATAAATATCATCATCAGCTTTGACATAAAACTCGGAGTCAAAAAGTGCATAGGCAGCTTTAAAGAATGCTAACCTGCAAAAAACCCAGATGAGTACAGCCATCCAATAATAAACTTGATGGGGGAAAAAACAAAAGAAAACTATGCAGTTCATCATCAGCACTAACGTTTTATATGGGAGCTTACTATACTGTTCCTCTATATCTACTAGCAAGAAATCATCATATTCTGCAATCTCCTTTCTGAGCTGTGCCATCTTTGATTTATCATTAGTTCTACCAATAATAAACCTGAAAGCCAAACCAGTAGATTCTTCCAACCTGCAAGCCAATTAATCTATAAATTACCGCAATACGCAATACGATGGGAAGAAAAGGCCTTCTACAAGTTAGTAGTTTTCAGCAATTTTCAAAACCATGGACAACCAGAATCTGTTAAAAAAGAAACCATATTGCACAGTTTTTGACAGGAAGTACATCAAGAGCTCAGCAATAGCAACAGTATATTATATAATATAAACCATCCAACAAGACTATGATGTACAGATTGCTGTTCAAGATCACATTCACACCTCTTTTTGATTTTATTCTCCTAAAAAATGGACAAATTATATCCCCAAATGCACATTCCTTAATGAAAAAGCATCAAATCCTCAATTGTTTAGCTTGAAATTTAGATCTTGAGATCTCTTGTTGTTGGATGCTAAAATTTATAGAAGATGAGCAGCATATCAGCATTGTTTCTTTCTTTTAGAGTTCTTTGTTTTCTATCAATGAATTAAAAAAAGAAAAAACTTTGTTTTCTATCAATGAATTAAAAAAAGTAAAAAAAATAATCCTAATTCATGAAACAAGAAAACCAAGAACTGAAGATCTCATTTCTAAATCTACAAGCAAATGAACCTAACAAGATTCAAGCGATAACTAGCTAAAATGTCAAACCTTTTCTTTTTTAAGAAAGAAAGAGAATTGTTCGATACCGTTGAAGTCCCTGTCGATCGGACGGCATCCAAGTGTTCCTCAAAGACCGCCTCCGACCCGATGACTCGAACCCAGTTTGAATCCCAACAAACCCCATAACCTTATGCCTCTCTTTCCTGTCCTCACCATCCAAAACGACAGCGTTCCCACCGCCATTATCATTTCTATTGTTGCTGGTTTCCCAGACGACACGGACCGATCGCGGCGGGGAGTTATTGGAGCAACGGTAGTTGTGGGAGGAGGTAAGAAAGGAAGTGAAGCCGAAGATGAAGCCGGAGATTCCGATTAAAAGGAAAGTGAGAATCAGAGGCGTTGATCTGCTAGGATTAAAGGGTTGTGAAATGCGGGAGTGAAAGAATTTAGGAGAAGAAGGCATTCTCTGAGTTTGAGATAATTATTAGTAGAATGTTTGTTTTGGTTATAAAAGAAAGAAAAAAAGGAAGATCATGGCTGGCACAGACAGAGAACAGGGAGATTTTATTTTTATTTTTTTGAGGTTTCTAAGAATTTAGAACTGGAAAAAGTGTACGAGAATGAAGTTTAAGTTTGAAAGAAAGAGTAAGAAGAAAGCGTGGAAGTGGAGGAGTTTGTTTCCGTTAATGGTAGTTGCATTGTTTGTTTGTACCTTGCTTTATTATTATTCATTGCATAACCTGTACTGTACTGTACCCACATTTTTTCTTCGACGAGCACTCTTTCATATGTCAAGTATTGTAATAATGTTTTGGAAATAAATTAAAATAGTATATTTATATTTTTTAAATTATTTTTTATATTAATATATCATAATAATTTAAATTCATAAAAAATATTTTTTAAAATTTTTATAAAACATTGTTTGGACTATGACATCATAAATTATATTTATGGTTTGATCAATTCCTTTTCTTTTCTACGGAAAGTGTATTTGTTTGTACAATTTTTATATTTGATTAACTTTAATTTATTATTATTTTGCGGGAAAAAAACTTATTTTTATTGAATCTAGGCAAAAAAAAATAATTATGTTTTTTAAGAATATTATTCTATTATTTTTTAGGGAGATTTTCATAATAGTACAATTGAAATTAACTAAATGTAAGAACTAAGGATTAAATAAAGTAGATAGAGAAGGAAGAAAAAAAAATAGATTGATAACCAAATTAAAAAGGAGAAAAGAAAATGAAAAAAAAAATAATGAGATAGAGAAGACACAATATAACGGTGGTAAAAATATCCTAGTAACATTAGAAATATATTAATGGGATGGATATTCAATCAACACCAAGGAAATCTAAATTTGGAGTTAGAGATGACACATATGCATAGTCTAAAAGTGGTGGCATCCTCACTTGTTGGTGTGTGAGCCACACGTACCAAACACAAAAATTATGTATTGGCGCTCGAGCAACAAGCATTAGATACAAAAACCTCTTGTGTTTAGTGTATATAGAACATGCACCTAACAAAATTAGATACAAAAACCTCTTGTGTTTAGTGCATATAGAACATGCACCTAACAAAAAAAAAGAAGTTTTGATATGTTAATGCATATATCACATGCGCTAGACAAATAAAATCATGTGTGAGACATACTTGTGTTATCTGCATGTCTCTAGTTGCATACTAATTTAAGAATTATTTTTTTAATGATATTACTTTGAGAAAAAAAATTTCCCCACTGTGCTATTGTTGGGGAAAAAAACTTTATAACAATAGTGTTCTAGAATATAATATCTATTAAGAAGAATTAATTTTATCCTTTTTTATTTTATCTTTTAATGTTTGAATAATTGAGAATTGAGCTTTATAATTTATTTTTATTTATTTTATATTGGGTTATTTTGGTCTTCTAATCCATGTTTGATTGGTTTACAAAGTTTTTTTTTTGTTTTTTTTTTAATTTTATTATTTAACATTATGTTGATTGAGAATTGAGCTTCAATATATTTTTTATTTGCTTTTTATGAGTTCATCATAATCTTATAACTTAAGTAATGAATTTTACATGTTAACCTAGATTGAACTAGATCGATCCAATATGTTGTTATCTTAATATTTTATCGTTTTGAAATTTTTTCAAGTCAAACTATATTTTTTTGTTGTTGTTCAAGTTGCTTTTAGACTTGTCAAGTTGACCATGTCATATTGGATTAATCTCTACATGTTTTCCTTCTTCAAGACATATTAGCAATTCTTGGATATTTTTTTTTGAACTTTTAAAAAACATTTAATTCGACCTGCGGTATAATATAGGTAAATAATCTAGTGATTCTACTATATAGCGTTAACTTCGTGTTGTGATGTTAATTGTCTAAAATGACTATGACTTTAACGTTGTATTAATGTCTATGCCTTTGAAGAATTTAATACTTCATTAAATGTTATCTTGTGAGATATAAAGATATTAAAGCTTTCAATTGTATTGTTCACTCTAGTGAGAGAGTTAGTTGTGAGAATAAAATCACTTTGTAAAGTTATGTAAATTTTTTTTTTGTATTGGTGAGGTGATTTCACCAAAGAAGAAATCTTAAGGAAAACATATCTTTAAATGGAAAAAATCTTAAAGAGGGAATATTTTCAAGTGGTTTAAAAAGCTTGGTGTGGTTTTATTAAGTGGTTATTATACTTTTAAACTTGAACAAATAAAGAAATATAATACTCAAGTACAATTTGATATTGGAGGTATGGATGTAGGTTTGCCGAACCACGTTAAAAATGAGTTTGTATATTTTCTTTCATTATCTCTTTTCTTTAAATACTTTAATTATATTGTTGGTTATTGTGTTAACTTGAAGTAATTTGTTTTATTTGTTAACATTAATGTACACCCAATTCACCCTCTCTTAGGTGATAAAGTTGTCTTAGTCTTTGAACAATATTTGATATCAAAGCTTAGTTCTCATACATGAAGTTTGCTTAGACTTTGAATATAATGACAACTACCAATTATGATATCTAAAATAAAGGATTATCCATATCTAGATTATCTTTTTTTTTTATGGTAATGATTATACATATTAGAAAGCTAAAATAATTATTTATCTTTAATATATTGATTATTGTTTATGGCTATCCAAAGAATGGACCTCATATACCTATTACAGTTGAAAATGGTATTGAGATTCCTAAAGGTAGAAGTGAATATATATGAATAATGATAAAAAATTGATTTATATGAATATTAAAACTATGAACACTCTATATTATGCATTAAGTGAAAGTGGATTTAATATAATTACATCATGCAAAAATGCTAGAAATGTATTGTATGTTTTACAAGTAACTCATGAAAGAACTAACCAAGTTAAAGAATCTAAAATCAACATATTAGATCATCAGTATGAATTGTTTAAATTTATTTTTAGTGAATGCATAACTAGCATGTTTACTAGAATGATTACCATAACTAATAGTTTGGATGCACATGCTAAGACTTATACTAATGTGGAAATTGTGTGCAAAAGTTTTAGGTCCCTACCAAAGACCTAGGAAGCAAAAGTAATGGCAATTTGAAAAGCCAAGGATCTCACAAAATTTTTATTAGAGGAACTCATTGGTTTTTTGATGTCTCATGAAATTACCATGGAGAAACAAGAACAAGAAAAAAAGCCAAAAAAGAATTTAGTATTCAAAATCGTTTATCATATTGAAGATAATGGTGATGATAAAGATCATGAAGACATTGAAGAGGATATTGTCTTAATTACAAAACAATTCCAAAATTTTCTAAGTAAAAAGCAAGGGAATTAAAGATTCTCGAACTTCAAAAAAGATGTAGACAACGAAGAATCAAGCAAGAAAGTCTTAAGATGCTACAAACATATCAAAACAAGACACATCAAAGTAGATTGTTTATTTTTTCAAAATAAGAAAAGTTGTCATTAGAAAAAAAACAATGAAGGTTACTTAGAGTGATGATTCAAACGTAAGCTCAAGCGATGGAGAAAAACATGTACCGAATAGATGCTTTATTGCAATTAAAAGTGAAAATGAGATACAATCTTTGGATGATGAATGTGGCCCTATGTATGATGAATTGCATGATGCACTTGAATCCTTATATGATGAATTTAAGAAATTAGATTCAAAATATAGCACATTGAAAAAAAAACCTATACATGTTTACTTATAAAAAAAGAAACTTTGAAAAAGAAAACTTGTATTATGATTGATGATAGTGATAAGATGAATAAACTTGAGAGTGGAAAAAAATTCTTAAATGATAAGATGAATAAACTTGAGAGTGGAAATTTTTTTTTTTTAAAAAAGGTAAACAACCAGAACATAACCTTACCTTAGCTAAATCCATATAAAACTCTAAAATTATAGAAACTATGTTTTCAAGCTAAAGATGTGTATTTAACAAAGTAGGTTTAGGTTACTAACATAGAAAAACTAAAAACATTTGCAAAAGTATTTTGTTAAAGCTATATAATCTTTTGACCCTAAGTATAAACCCCCTAGTAAAATATACAAGGATAATGAAGTAGAAATTATGTTAAGCAAGTAAATTGAATAGTTACAGTTAGGGGATGAGTTAGGGGATGATAATGGATTTTGAAAATTTGAAGTAAAATACTTATGTGGCAATTTTAAAATAAAAATATAAAAAGTGATTGAAAAATAAAAAATCTAAAAAAATGAATAAAAACTAAATAGAAATGATGTAAGAGGAAAGGAAAGTGCTGACATGTAATTTTAAAAAAATTGAAATAACCTAACTTTAATTTGGTATAAACAGACGTTGGAAGCTGAGTATTTTTACCTGTAAATATAAAATGATATGAAGGAAGGAAAAAATAGGAATTATTTAATTTATTTTGTGTGTGTGTTTGGCCGACCATTAGAAAAAAAAAGAAAAAAAAGGAAGGAATTCTTAAGAAAAACTTAGAAAGTATTAGACCAAAAAAGCCTAGAAATTAAGGGAAAATCTAAAAGGGTTTAAGAATTAAACACACTAAGCACTTAATTAAAAAAAAAAACTCTTGAGCAAGTGATTTTTCAAGGATTGGAGCTTGCAAGGAAAGTCTGGAAACATGAAGCGGGAGGAAGAAAGAAGTGAAGAAATTGAGTTTTTCTTTCATTTTGTGTCTTACAAACTTTTAACCTAGAGATAATATATATTGTTGCAATGATTAAATTATGTATTTGCTTAGGATTAATTTGTATAGTTTGTATTAGTGTTGTGTAATTATAAATTAAGGGTTGATGATGTTAAAAATAATGATTTAATCTTTGGAGTGTGTAAATGATCATTTATAAACAATGGGTCAAGTGAGAATTTAAAGAAAATCTTAACTTTTTTCTGATCTTTAGTTTTAGCCAAATACAATATAAAGCAGGGGAGGATTTTTCTTATAAAAAGATGTGTTTTTGGATTGGTTAATGAAAGATTTTAATGATAAAGTGCTTAGTTGTTGTAAATGGTATATATTTAATATGTGTGGTGGTGTTGATTATGACTGGAAATGTATGAAAAATTATGAAAGAATTGTGTTTTTTTTTTATGATTAAGTATATATATTTTTGAAAAATTGTATTATGAATGATAG